TCTTCTTGTTTCCCTTTATTTCCGTAGCCAGTTTGAGCTTATTTTGTGCCTTTGCCTTTCTAATCTTGCCACTGCATTCCTGTGTTGTTTGCCTATATTCATTCTTTGTAATGAATTGTCCTACTTTCCTAAATAATTCATTCTTTGTCCTACTTTCCATTTTTTATGGGACTCCTTTTTTATTTTTAGATCATGCAAGATCTCGTGGTTCATCCAAGGTGGTCTTTTGCCATATTTTCTATCTTTCTGATGCAGCAGGATAGCTTGCTTTTGGGCCCTTAACAATGTCCCTTTGAAAAACTGCCAACTCTCCTCAGTTGTTTTTCCCCTCAGTCTTGATTCCCATGCGACCTTACCTATCAGCTCTCTGAGCTTACCAAAATCCGCTTTCCCGAAATCCATTGTCTCTATTTTGCTGTTCTCCCTTCTACCCTTCCTTAGAATTGTGAACTCTGTGATTTCATGATCACTTTCACCCAAGCTGCCTTCCACTTTCAAATTCTCAACTAGTTCCTCCCTATTTGCTAGGATCAAATCTAGAACAGTTTCCCCCCTAGTAGCTTTTTCAACCTTCTCAAATAAAAAGTTGTCTCCAATGCAGTCCAAGAACTTATTGGATAGTCTGTGCCCCGCTGTGTTATTTTCCCAGCATATATCTGGATAGCTGAAGTCCCCCATCACCACCAAATCTTGGGCTTTGGATGATATTGTTAGTTGTTTAAAAAAAGCCTCATCCACTTCTTCCATCTGGGTAGGTGGCCTGTAGTAGTCTCCTAGCATGACATCACCCTTGTTTTTAACCCCTTTTAGCCTAACCCAGAGACTCCCAACACTTCCATCTCCTATGTCCATCTTCACCTCACTCCAAGTGTGTTCATTTTTAATATATAAGGCAACACCTCCTCCCTTTTTTCCCTGTCTATCCTTCCTGAGCAAGCTGTACCCTTCCATACAAACATTCCAATCGTGTGTATTATCCCACCAAGTTTCTGTGATGCCAACAAAAGACTCAGTAAACTTTAGGGTCCTCTCTTACCTTTGCTAACCTTCATTTCCAGCTTTTTCTTTAAAAACTTTCCAGAAAATGAAACATAATCAAAAGTTGTCCTTCCTTACCTCCAGGAAAGCTTACCTTCTTTAACACATGTATATTTTGACTTCACTGCGTTAACTCTTGAATTGCTGTCATCTTGAATGAGGACTCAATTAAAGTTCAAATAGAACATCCTCTTCCTTTAAAACTTGGTGTGCAACAGAAATCTTCAACAATACAAAGAGATGTAAAGCTAGAAAATATTCATCCAGTCCATAAATATTGATATAGGTATGTTTCTTTGTGTTTTGTGTGCTCTAGTTTTAGTGATGCAAAAGAAGACATTTCCATCATTCACTTCAGAGACATCTTTCTGAAATAGTTAAAATCTATTATATTATTTGTATTAACTTGACATCATTCATTTTCGTCCCATTGCCCCAGTTGTACCTCCAATGCCATCCTAATACCTCTCCTTTTGGTGTTTTACAATCTTAAAATGAATATAGATGTCTATTATTTCTCCAATATTCGTCAGTTTCTGTAAATTAGGTTATTTATTTTGACCTTTCCCCAGAAATCAGTCTCTCCAAATATCTTCTGACTTCCTTTTAATTTTACAGCATATTTATTGTACTGAATAGACATGGTCCGTCCCCCACTATGAAATTTAGGTTTGGATATGAATTTTGACCCAACTCCATTGAAACTTTCTATGTTTGGAATTGGGGTCCCATAGTGCAAAGACAGAGAGAGTGATTACAAAATATGGATCTTGCATTTGATCCAGATTTTGATATCACTTCCCATTTCAAAAATTAGATCTCCAGGCCATCTCTAATACTAGGTGTCCAGAACTGTGCATAATATTACTTACAAACATGCTGCAAAATACCAGTATAAATAAGAATGCTCAAAACCAGAGATATTAGCCCTGTTTCCAGCCTCACTTTTAGGACACTGATTTGGTGTCTAAAGAAATATACTTTTCCAGGGCTACTTCATAGGTATACAGACTGTCTGTTTCATGGGAGAGGGTTATCATTTCAGTTCACATCTCAACTTTTAGCTTATCTGAAAACTTTCACTCAGTTAGAGAGTACCAGCTCTGAAAATAGCAGAGCCCAATATTGCAAGTGTAGCAGGGATTCCGTGATTGGGTTCTGTGCTACATTCATTAATAGGGATGGTTGAATTATTATTTATAGATACATTATCTACTTTGTAACTTGGTAGCAGCTGCAGCGTGCTCAGCAATGTTGGCGCACAATGTAAGATGAATTGCTTAGTTTCTAAGGAAAAGACTTTGCGAATAAAGAATTCCCCGAATGAAAGGAAAAAAATACTGACTCCATTATCATTTACGATTAGTTGACCATCTAGAGCACTTGTTGAATAATGAAAAAAAATGAATTAATGATGATTTTACTTGAAGAAAAATGCCACAAATCATTCAGTAAATTAGTTTCACCAAATAAATTAACCTGCTCTAATAATAGTGGTAGCAGTTTCTGTAGTTGTTCACAATATTAATACCAGATTGTGAACTGCTTATGCTGTCTCAGAACTTAAGCTGTTGTTAAATGCATTTCTAAAGCATTCTTCAAGTCACTGAATCTTAGGCTGATCCTCAGAAGCAAAAGTCACATTTTTATCCATTCCATTACAAAGGTGACACAAAAACTGCATCCAGACAGGGACTTTGTTTTAACTTGGAAAGACAATCACATACTGTAACCCACACATCTTCTGGGTGTGGTGTGTTGTCCTACCTAGTGGCACTGAGATCACTTACAGAGAGAATAATGAGTTTGCTCTATAACCTTAGCTAATAGTCAGCTGCTTTTAGCTCATGTGGCAGAGGCTCATTCACTAAGCTTCAAAGGTCCCAGGTTCAGTTCTGCCTGTCGGCATTACAATATCATTTGAAAAATGGAGCAACTACTGTGCTTGAGTTCTCCTTTAATCCTTTTTCATAATCACATGCAAATATGACTCTAAACTATAGAATGTATTAAGGTAGGTTGAGTCCTTTCTTCAAAAGTGAACCCTAAGGAATTAAAGCTATAAACACTTGTTCATTTTTGTTTTTTGTTAAAACCACAGAAACATCAGCCCCCTGACGAATGAGATAATGGTTGTACTCCATAGGGTATTACACTAAACAAAACCTAGAGGTATATGAATGGTGGTAGAATGGGAGACTGCATGTGTGGGAAGGAAGTCTCTTCATATGGCATCCGTGGTGCATGGCGTGCTTTAGATGGCAGGTTGTGGCTCCTTCCTCTCATTCATTTTTATGACTTGACTTGCACGGAGTGTTGGGTTTTCTGTTTTAACAGCATGTGGAATGAACTGTAAATGTTTTGATAATGAATGGATTCAAATATTTGTCACACCAAGTGACCCATGAGAGTGAAAAAAATCTGTATTTGTGTCTCATGTGGTAAGATTTTTTTTCTTGCAGGTTTCTCAGTGCAGATGTTAGCATTTGTATGAATCTCTGTGTGGTGACTAGTTCATTTCCTAAAACGTAGGTCTGGTATTATGCTCACCTACTTTCCCCTATTCTCCGTGCAGCAAGCCAACCTCCTCCCCCAGAACGGTGGTGATCATAAATCTGAACAATATAAAATAGCCATTTTTTCTAGGGTTTTTGTTACATATCACAGAAATGCCCTTAATTAAGGTGCATTCCAGATAACAGGAAAACTATCAAAATAAGTGCATTGTCTGTTCATGACTGAACAAACAGAGCTTGTAAGAAGGCAAGAGAAAAAGATATAAAAGCAATGTATCTTGAGCCACAAGGGAGCTCCCTGCCACAGATGTCGTCTTGTCACTGTAGGACATCCTACAGGGACATATTAACATTGTGTATAGTAAGAGAGAAAAAGCAGAAATATAGAAATAAACCCACTACAGAATGGTTACCACCAGCTCAAAACTCCATAGTTTTCTTTAGTTATCTTATCCTCCTTTAACAGAGGCACATTGAAACAGTATTCTAATTGACAACAAATTCATCTCAAATTCAATTATTTGCCATTTTCTCTGTATAAGGATATAATTTAAATAGGAGAATCCTACTATATTTGCCTCTTTCCACTCTTATTTTTCCCTGTTCTGTTTTGTTTTTGGAAATGGTAAGGAGAAAGGTAGACATGTTAAATGTAGTAAGGAGTAGTGTTTAGCTTATTAAAAGTCAATATAGTCAGTTTTTCACAAAAGAGAATCGAAATCTTGGAGATTATTTTTCTGCTATCTGGTCAGTTTGTTACAATATCATATTGTGAAAAGTTTTAAGAATGATAAACGTTAGAGAGAGAGAGAATGAGAGATTTATACTTGATATAAAGAGGCACAATTCCCAACAGCAGCTATAACTGCTTACTGCAGAACAAAATGTGGCTCATAATCTATGAATTACATAGTTTTAGGAGTTTTAGTTTCATCAGACTACTAAAAATATACAGAATTAACAAAAAATCATATTGTTGCCCAGTAAGCCATTTTTCTTTAATAATATATTAAAATTGTATAACAAATATATGTGTCTTGTGCCCATCTTACTTTGCAATGACAGTCGTGGCAGAAATATTCCAGATAGCATTGGGAAAAATATACAGTGTGAAAAGTGTGTATATTCATGCATAAATTAGGAGTGTTTGGTCAGGATCCTATATTTATATATGGTATATTTCTACCATCAGTTGCATTGCAAAATAAGAGTGTTGCTATTAAAAGCTCTTAAGATAAATATTTCTAGTACAAGCCATTAGTGATGTTAGCATGAATTATTGCTACATTTAAAAAAGGGGATTGTTAACTGTACATACTGAGAAAGTGCCATAGGTATATAGTTTGTTACATTTTGAAAAAGAACCCTTTGGAACATAACTGGAGTGATTTTGTTTTGGCTGATACGCTTTCAAAAACATAGCTAATATTCATTTGTCGTTTTCAGCTTCCTGGTTAGCTTCATGGTGGATGCCCGTGGTGGTGCCATGCGAGGCTGCAGACACAATGGGCTAAGGATCATTATTCCTCCTCGGAAATGCACTGCTCCCACACGAGTAACCTGCCGATTGGTCAAGCGACATAGACTGGCCACCATGCCTCCAATGGTGGAAGGAGAAGGTCTGGCCAGCCGCTTGATTGAAGTTGGACCTTCTGGTGCTCAGTTTCTCGGGTAAGACTTTGTTTGACCTACATGAAAAATAATAGGCATATCTCCATTGTTTGGAAATTGCACTTGGGGTAGCCCCTGCTTCAACATTTAAATTGAAAAGGTTAACAGCATACTGTTTCAGATTGATCACAATATTATCGGCCCCCTAGTGCAAATCAGCAATTCACTTAGCTTGTATGCCTTTTCATTCGACAATACTGATGTTTTTTAACCACTAACACTAAGGTTTAGAGTGCTTCCTGGAATAAGTTTATTAATCAGTGCCATGCTATGAAAATGGAAATCAGTTTGCTATCAGAGGTAGGCAATTCATACTGTATTTAAATCACCCACAGTTAAGACATGAATAACACGTAGCACAGCACTGATATAAACTAAATTTGAAGCCTGCTACAGATATAACACAAGTTAAAGCTCCTTACAGTAGAAACTTGTGTTTCGTCTATAGGCCTGCTGTCAATAATTTGGACCATCTGGAAAGCACAAGCCTTTGATTTTTCTGGGGTTAAAATTGCAAGTTCAAACAATAGGACATCTCAGGAATTCTCCAGCAGTTTATTTTGTCCTATATTGCAATACCCAATAGAAAGATCAGAACTGCAACTACTGCTGTGCTTGTTTTAGCAATATTCAGCTGAAACCAGCAGTTCTCTGCACTTTTGTTTTATTTTTTTTATCAGCTGCTCTCCTTATCAACTGGGGCATCCAAAAATGGATGATTGCAGGAACCCCTCCAATAGAGTGAAAAGTTTCAGTTGGAAACTGGTAAATGAAGTTAAGAAAAGCAACAGTTTAAATCCATTTTGAAACCATTCAATTGTATTTAAGTCCTGTCATGTAAAGATAGCCAGCAGAGCCACCTGCTGAAGTTATATCTGGAAGAACAGACTTGAGAAAAGAGTGGGAGATGATTTGATGTTTTTCAGAAACACTCTGAACAGAGTATGAGAGGAGAAAGTATCCAGACTTGTTTCCATTATTTTATTGATAGTGCAACAGGAAGAGTTATGAAACATTGGGAACATAAAGGCGAGTCCTCTTCCTTAACAAATGAGGTGCTCATAGGTTTCAGATGCATCAGAGAAGTTGCCTAACAAAATACTAATTTGACATTCTCTTCAAATCTAGTTCAATTCTTATAAAAAAATCTAAAAGACAAGCAGAATACCTCTGCTGTCACATTATTTCTATAACCATCTTTTCCCCTTCCCCACATTCACACTAACATGCAGTACCTTTTATTTTTTTAAATAGTCCCTCCATCCGATGAGTATTCTCAATAAAAACTCATTTGAATAACACACACAGATATGTTAGAGTTTTTGTGTCACTCCTCATAGGTTTATCCCCTACTAATGGGCATTTTTCTGGGTGGCCTCCTGGCAGTGAAATCAGGTATTGTGCACTGTACCTGTTAACACAAATATTACTGTACTACACTGACACATCCATTCTAAGGGCCAGATTTTGCTCCCATTATGTTCAATGATAAAAATCCCATTGGCATTAATGGAAGCATTTCAGGATTTTCTGTCAGCAGTGGGGTACAGCGAGGGCAGAACCTTATTCAGTGTTTGGCCTAATTCCACTCTGTTGATCAGACAGTGGCACTGTGGTTCTGAAAAAAAACCCATACATAAAGTTTATTGATGTTCTTTCTTTCACTGCTGCTTTGGATGTACTCAGTAAACTTCATCTGCCTACGGCTCCTCCCCCACTTAATGAGGGAGAAAGCTTGGTCAGCCGAATCCTTCAGCTGGGGCCTCCTGGGACCAAATTTCTTGGGTAGGAGAGACTTAAAACAAATTGATGGATGCTGGCCTCCCCCATTCTTCTCCTCCCTCTGCAATATGATTTATTTTTTTATGTCATTGTGCCCATGACAGTGTCCCTTTCTATGATTTGAAATTTTGTATATCTGACCTTTAGTGGACCATTTTCCAACCCTTGTGGTATGTGGTTTTTGTTGTGGCGGTACGTTTATATCTTTTTTCTTAAAGTTTTGTGACCTTCATTTTTGTTTTAGCATGAGATCTTCCTAGCTGTAAAATGTTCCAGCTGTTATGTGCTTGATGTCTGTAGCAAAGCAACCTGGATTGGAAGTAAAAAGAATCTTTTGTGCATTTGTGTGTGTTTCTATTTTGCACCCATTGCTACCAAACCAATAATATTATGTTATATATTGAATATAATATAACATAGTATGAAATAGCATGACATTTTATCAAGTACATGATGGCCCATATTATTATGCACTTGTTAGGTATATGTATCATGTATATTTATATTTTCTTCCTGAGTGTGTAAATACCAGCATTATAGGAGTATGTGTGCGTACACACACACACACACACACACACACACACACACAAAGACTCTCACGTGTTCATAATGAAGGAAATTCTTATCTCCTCTACACTAGTAGAAATCCAGATTAATGTTGGTGTAAAATCAGTACAAGAGAGATGAATCAAGCCCCTTGACTTAAGCGTCATTATTCTGATTATACCAGAATGCTAGATCAGAATTTGTCCCACTGTCTGTATATATATTGCAGTGGATTGTCTTTGAAATGAAATTGCACAAGTTAAAACACATGGTGATAACAGTGCTAAAATGAGCATGAATTTTATTAATTTTATCTGCTTGCAACCATATGCTAAAATCTCTGTTCAAAGTACTGCTTCCTTATTGCATAAGGAGATGTATGCACATCTAAAGTGTCCTACAGTACAGTACACACCAGGTCCTTGTAAAAGAAAAGATGCTCTAGTGACCCCTTGAGATGCTGGTTAGGATTACACCCAACTATGCTGGAAAAGTGGGTAGAATTCCAGGTTACTTTGTAACAGACTGGATGGATTGCTGTCGCTTCTATTTCTTCCTCTCACCCATATACATTTAATGTGCTGTGTTGCTGCGTCAGGCCTGTGATCGTGGAGATCCCCCATTTTGCCGCTTTGCGTGGGAAAGAGAGAGAGCTGGTAATCCTGCGCAGTGAGAATGGGGACAGCTGGAAGGAGCATTTCTGTGAATATACAGAGGATGAACTGAATGAAATCCTCAATGGAATGGATGAAGGTACTCCGTGCTGGGACAAGGGTGGGGAGAAGGTTGAAGAGGAATTTAAATGATCCTTTTATCTTGTTTTACTTCTGTAACTAGAGAAGACGTTTTCTGTCTCCTCTCCGATTGACTATTTCACTCATGACCCCACTCTCTAGAGGCCGTGTTGCCATATTCCACTGATGTTTCACTGGCATCAAAGAGGAATATCATAACACACTCACATAGCCGTGTGCAGCGCATTTCATTAGGGTGTGCACCCAAAGAATTTTTTTTAAATGTACTCTTTGACCCCCATTAGCCACATCCCCTGACCCCACATGCCGCTGGAGGTAACACTTTCGGGGCAATATGGACACATGACCAGAAATAAAAGGTGTCATGTGACCCCACTATCCTCTTATCAATAGGGATTAGTTTGGCCCTCACCAAACCCCCCTCATGCAACTATCCTGCAATTGCATTAACCCAATGTGTGTGACATTAACTCGGGGGGTGGAGAGGCTGGGGGAAGTGTTCCCTCTAAGAGTTTCCTCCCATGAGCATAATAAATGTTGTGTTGTGCACCAGTATTGAGTTTATGGCTTGTTTGGATGTGCCACTGTGGCACCCAAGTTGTTATTAAATATCTTATGAACCTCTACCTTTCCCCTCTGCTACTCTGTCTCCTCTGCTTGCTCCATCAGCTCCCCTGGTGCCTGCTGCCCCCCCAACCCCTCACCCACCTCTGCTGTCCTGACTCCTACCCTTCTCACTGCCCTCAGCCTTCCTGAGTCCTGCCCCCCTCCACCAGCCTTTCTCTCCCGCCCCCGTGCCC